CTTTTTGAAATGCACACACGCTACATCTTTTTAACACTTAAATGACTTAAATTATTTGGGTAGTTTAATAATAATTTGGGCTCCAAAGGCCTGCATGGTATGGCCCTCTCCAGTCTCATCTCTTGTGTCTATTGGTTCTCCCTTCTTTGGTTATACAGATTTACTTTAGTTCTTCAAGCTCACTGTACTCCCTCTTCTACTTGGAACGTTCTTACTGCGAATTGGAGCCTTCCTAGACCTCCCCCAGTGGGTCACTTTCTATTAATTGTACTTCATAGATTTTATATTTAATATGATTCTTCAGTCAGTGCTTTTCTGTTGTACTGTACAAAATGCCTCGAAGACAGTCTGTTTCTATTCACTGTTTTATCCCCAGTGCTTGTCCCAGAGCTTGATGCACGGTCAGTCAATATTAGAATGAATGAATGAATGAATGAATGAAAAAACGAACAAACTACCCATCGACCTCATGTACGTTTGTGATGTTTGGACTGTGGATCAGGACTGACTTTTTTGAGGGTGAGATCTGAGAGATGATTCCTTAGAGAGGAGGTATAATGGAGAGGAGAAAGCAAAATTTGGGGCAGAAATATGTAGGTGAGAATCCACTTATCAGTTATCACTTATCAGCTATGTGACTTCGAACCTTTAATGTTTCCTCATTTATAAACTAAACATGATGGTATTTTCCTGATAGGTTACCATGAAGATTAAATTAGGGAATAAAAGCCCTTTGGTTCCTTTCTCCTTAGGGTGATTTCTGTGACTTGCTGTTTAACTACATTTGCCATTACTTGCTGTAATCCTTGTGGCCCCTTGATACCCTAATTATAGACTTCTAGAGGTTAAAGGCAGCCAGCATGTTCTTCTGATTCAGCCAACTTTGTTAAAGCAGGTGAATAACCAACAATCTCAGGCATGTGGTTCTGTTGCTAAACCCCACAAACATGGGCTAATTGCAAGGATGCCTGGTCTCAATTACAACCTACTGGTTAGGGAAGGAGACAGCAGAGCCAGGTGGCCTCCTTGAGGGCCTGCATTTACACAGATATGCTGATCACAAATGAGTCTTATCAATTGTTTATTAATACTAAGTTCTTAAGTCCTTTCTTTCCAATTGCAATCTTGTTTATATTTTTGGGTCTATGTTGGGTAAGGCTTCTTTAGTGAGGTGAAGAAACCCTGAAGCTCAGAGATGGGATTATTGGGTGCCAGTCCTGCCTCTGTTTCTAGCTTTCCTAAAAGGGTCACAAGTCTCTCAGTCTGTTTGCTCATCTGTCATATGGGGGATAAGAGTATCTTCTTCTCATCTTAAGAGGTACATTGGTAAAAAGTTATCCTGGGAGAATTAGAAAAAGAAAGACATTATTTTAGTAGCCCTCCATCATAGATAAGTGTTGAAACCTCTGTTATTAACACAATTTAAGAATTAATGACAGGACTTGAGAAAAGAGCACTTGCACTGGATTCTCTTCCCTGTGGGCAGGTGTGTGGGTGGGGAGGAAGGGCATGAGAAAAAGGCAGGGTTTACAGAAATGCACGTGTCTTTTGCAGCTGAACTCCAACATGGTAACCTGAGTGTGGGACGCTGGTCAGTGGTGGTGCCAGGTTAGCTTCTTTCGCCAATCCAGGTGGCACTAGGTTGACTCTCACCAAGCTGCTGGTACTCTTCAGCTCCAGACCACCGACTGGTCCCACCCCATCCTGCTAGCATCCTGTTTACCAGGTTGGATTTTTGTTGAAGAGACCACATAGGGCAGAAAAAAATGTTAAAAATCCCTCCTGGCTTTTTTCGCCAACAATCCTGAGAATGCTACCTCAGCAATTATAGGGGAAAACATGACGATCTCCTTGCTTCTCAGTACACACAGTGGGGCACTAGATTTGACTCTTAGGACTTTGGATATTATGGTTATCTCAGGTGTACATTTTTATCCTGCCCTCTCATTTTCTACCTTTATACTTTCTTCTTTGCTTATATTTGAAAGAGTTAATTAGTAGATGAGGGGTGGCCTGGTCCAAAAGAATTGCAGGTAATGGTTTCTCTGTGATTCCTAGTCATTCTGGTTCTCTCTGATACCTATTTTTCTGATAACAGAAAGTAATCATTGTGTACACTTAGGTGAAAGGCCTGAGGGTGGTTTTTCTAGAGACTGCGGATGACCCAGTTATTTCAGTTTGATCTACAAGTTTCATTGACTCTTTTCTCTGTCATCTCCATTCCATTCTTAAGCTTGCCCATTCAGAGAATTTTCAGATCCTGCATTTCTGTTCTAAAATTTCCACTTAAATTTTTTTCAATTTCTCTGCTTTTAATAGATGTTATAATAGCTGCTTTAATATCCTTGTCTGATAATTCCAACATCTGGGTCATCTTAGAGTTGCTGTCTCCTGATTGTCTTTTCTCTTGCAAATGGGTTTAGTTCTTTTAGTTCTTTATGTAATTTGGGATTGTGCCCTGGACATGGGTGCATGTGAATGTTATGTTGTGGAGACTCTGGCTTCTGTTGATGTTTTTGTTTTAGCAGATAGTTAAGTTGGTTAGACTCAAAATTGCATGTTCTGTCTCACCTGTGGTGGGTGGCAGTTCAAATCTCAGTCCAGTTCTTTTGTCCTTAGCTGAGGTCCTTGGACTCTGCCCCATGTGGACATGGTTCAGGGGTCAGCTTGAGATTGGGCAGAGTGTCTCACAGAACCTAGGCTCTCCATCTCAGGCTCTCTTCTTTCTTCTTATTGTCTGTGGCTTCTCTGGTCTCTCTGTCTTCTGGACAGAAAGTCTAGGGTTTAATTTTTAATTGGATCTTCAGCTGGACAACCCTCAGGTCAAAGCTCCAAAAATGGGGAATTCTTCCCCTGCCAGTCCCTTCTTCCAGTTTTTAACTTTTCTAAAATCTGCCAGCCATTGTTCACTTCAGATAGTTGTTTTTTATATTTTATTCAGAGTGTTTAGTTGTTTATCTGTGGGAGGAGTGTACTGGAAGCAGAACTACCCACTAGCATTTTTATCTATTATCAAAGTGTTTTGGGAACAAAAGTGATATACATTTAAGAGAGTTTTTTTTTTTTTTTTTTTTTAAGTTACATAAATTAACCCATTTAGGCTGCAGTGTTTCAAATGGTGGTGCTTCTGCTGGTCCTTCAATTCCTTCACTCTTCCGATGGCAGACTTTACTGTGGCGGCAGAAATGGTGTTGTAGGTCCAGGCACTACCAGCTACTGTTTTCATGCAGGAGCCACAGTGCCAAATGCCCACAGCTCGTCTCTTCATCTTGGCTTGGCCACAGAAGGAGCAAGTGTGCTTGGCGTGCTGGCTGATTTCAATTTCTTCACCCTTTTCCTGAGGGAGGCACCACAATGGGTCCCATATTTACCCACCATTCTGACCTTCTTGGTGCGTTTAGCCATGTCGCCGCAACCTAGGTCCGAGCCCAGAGAGTAAGAGAGCTTTAATCTTCAATCAAATGAGGATGGACTGATGCATTTCCTTAATGTGGCTTGTGAACTATCTCAGGTGGACTCAACCGGGTTCACTTCAACCAGCTTTGCAGCCTTGGGCCAGTCTCTTCTCCTTGCTGGGACTCATTTTCTCCTCTGGAAGATGAGGCAGTTGGGCTCTTCCGTGATCTGTAAGGGTCCTGTTATCTCTTCTTCTAGACAGAGAGCACATGCACGCAGAACCCTCACTATCACCGCCAGCAGTAATAGCCAGGAGCACCAGAGGAGATGCCTGGGGCAGTGATGTGGCTGGATCCGCTGGGGTGAGAGGCTCTGAAGGGGCAGCACTACAGAGTTTGAGGAGTTTACAGTCATCCTTTGTCTCTGGGGACAGAGGACCAGGACACTGAGGAAGCAAGAAGTAAATGACATTCAGAAGCAAAGGAAAGAAATCATTTGCCCTTAGAAATAAGGAAAGGCTGTGTGATAGTTGAAAACAAATCAGGATCATCTGGAGTTCCTGTTTGTTTGATTTTTGGCAATGTATTCTATCCTGTTTTGAAGAGAATAGGCTCCTGGGCTTTATTACTATGCCAGCAAATTTGGCAGTAGGTGGAGGGGGCAGCAGCTTTCAGTAGAGGTGCTGCTGTCACTGTTAGGAGTTTAGAATTTTTATGTAGGAAAGGTTCTAGGCTATGCAAAGGAAGGTGTGTGTGTGTGTGTGTGTGTGTGTGTGCGCGCGCGTGTGTGTGTGTGTGTGTGTGTGTGTGTGTAAGGTGGGTGGAGGGGCAGGACAGAAGGTCTGTGGGCCAGTTCTGATGCTGTTTGAATAGCAACCACACTTAATCTGCGTAGACTGATTGTCTTTCTGAAGTGTGTGGTGCAGGGAGAGAGAGCTAAAGCTTCTGCCATGCCCACCCAAGCCATCCCTTGGGTGCTGCCCCTGGTACAGACCCTTTTTTCTACTTCTTTTCTAGCTGTTTTCATTGCTTATCAATAATTCTTCTCTCTTAGGTCTTAACTGGCTTGAGACTTCAAGCCCTCGTCTTTTTTAAAGCCAGTTGTAAAAAGCTATCATTTTATTACTTCTTCATTTTAATTCTAGCCTTTTCTAGCTCCCTAGGAGGATGGAGGTAGGGGTAGATTCTGTATCTGTATGTATGTTACGTGGTTGGTGGTGGAGGTGTGGAAATTGGATTAAAGGGACCAACAGGGCTTCCCTGGTGGCACAGTGGTTGAGAGTCCGCCTGCCGATGCAGGGGACACGGGTTCGTGCCCCGGTCCCACATGCTGCGGAGCGGCTGGGCCCGTGAGCCATGGCTGCTGAGCCTGCGCGTCCGGAGCCTGTGCTCCGCAACGGGAGAGGCCACAACAGTGAGAGGCCTGCGTACCGCAAAAAAAAGGGACCAACAGCCTGGGAAGGAGGTCACAGGGTGGTCTGTGGGATATGTAAGAGAGGAATGGGCAGTTGTCATGAAAGGAGGGGGATAGTGTGAGTGTAAGACGATGTACAAAAGCTTTAGTTTTGCCACTAGCTTAGAAGCCATTTTTCTGTTCTTCCTCAGGACTGGGATGGACAGAAGTTTGACCCAGATCTTCCACCTTCATTTACTCTTCTCCAATGTTAGGGGTAAGATTCAATGAGTTAGGAGGCTTTTCAGCCCCCCTGGAGAAAGTTTATTACAAAACCAGGGGTAAAGTTTGCAGACAGGCTCTGTTTTTGTTCTAATTGATATTGAGTAGTTCAGGGCTGTTTTGAGGACCAAGTCTAGAAGGCACCCCAGTGAGAGTCAGCATGATGACTTGGCTTTTTGTAGTTGGACAGACTTGGGTTTAAACCCTGCCTGTCACTTACTCACAAGCTGTGAGACCTTGGACAAGTCACTTGACTTGTTGAAATTTAGATTCTTCATCTATAAGGGGGTAACATTTTTGTCTGGTGTAAAACATAAAACATATTGCCCAGGGTGTGGTGGATACTTCACAGATGTTTGGTTTTATTATTTTTTTCCTTACACATATTCCAGAACATCTTATTTTTAGTAGAATCCCAGCTTTAGCCCTAAGCAATTGTGTGACTCAGCCTTTCCAAGCTTTAGTTTCCTTCCTTAAAATGTGGGCATTTAACTAGTTGATTTCTGAGATCCTTCCTGAATGTAAGCTGTCATACGAATTTTTAGACTATTGGGGAATGTATAGGTCTGTTAATTTTAGGAACAACAATGTAGTCTATCCTGGGACCATATCATCCAGTAGGAAAGGGGAAGTCTCCTAGAGCCAAACTCCCTCTCTCCCCTGAGGAGAGAGATAGCCAGCTTCCTTCAGAGTCAGGATCTGCACGCAGATTCTCCCTTATCTCTTTCTGACACTGCAGTGTATGTGAAGGTCTTTGGGAGAGGCCTTTGGGTCAGCCCAGTCTTGGTGCAATTCAGGTTTTACCTATCTTTTCCCTTTTGTTTATATTCTCTCCAGGTCAAGAGGCAACTGCCATTAAAAGATAGTGAGTGACTGTTGCCAAGACAACAAGCATCAGGGGAGCAGCCAGAAGCATTGACAGAAAGCCTAAATTACCTAAATGGTAAGTATGTTGTACAATGTTGTAGAGCCACACTGATAGGATTGGGTGGTTTCTGAAGTCTCTACAATTTTACCACCATTACAAGAGAGGGAGGAAAGTCAGTATTTGTTGATGACCTATTCTGAACCAAGTACTGTGTTAAGTACCTCACATGTTTTCTCATTCAATCCACCCAGCCAACCTTCAGAAATAGGCCTAGCTACCATTTACTGAACACTTACTATATGCTAGGCATAGTCCTGTTCGACAGACGTTATCTCCCTTAATATTTACACCAGCACTATGAGGTCAGTGCTGTTATTTTCACCACAAGGAAGTGAGCTTAGAGAGGTCAAATGACTTCTCCAAGTTCATACAAGTAGTAGATGGTAGGACTAGATTTTAAACCTGGGTTATTTTCATTGCACTATAATGCTTCTCTTTTGTGAAAGTTACTTTTTGGTTGAGGCAGTGACTGACAGCTAGTTCCTTTTCCTAGCCCTTTCCGGATTGTGTATGCCAGTATCTTATTGGTGTTGTTGACTGAGGCAGTGGAGAGTACTAATGAAATAGAAGAAACTAGAGCAGTGAGTGGCCAGAGGACCTAGTGGTCTTGGTCACCAGTGGTAGCTGTTTAATAGTTAGAACAAGGTTTTCTGGGAAGGAAGAGCAATGGGGCAACCAGAGAATGAGTCTGGGAAATGGGTTCTAGGCGTAGGAGTGATTGGACATAGGAAAGGAATCCTAGCAAGACCTCTTACTCTCATGGGAACCCCTCCTGGAAACAGGCATAGTTTGGGACAGGCTCTTCTTGAGGGAGTGGGAAACTTTGAGGCAAATTCTTGCCCTGTTCGTTGGTTCAGGTTTCTTGTTCTGTTCCTTTCCCTGGAGGATTTTTCCTACCCCAGGGAACTGGGTAGATAATGAAATTCACCTTTGGTTGGGTGGGGTGGCCGCCAGTATTCCTTTGTTCATTGATCTCTCTGAGGGTACTTCAGTCTCTCTTTATTGGGGCACCAATGTTTTTTCAATATACTTGGTGAATTTGGGAGGGGGCAGTAATCATTTTCATCAACAAAATTTATTACACATACCTCTTATACATAGAGTGTTTTGCTATATACTGGGACTTACGTTCTGATGGTACCACTTACCACGTGGCTAGCACGGTTCTTGGAGCTAAGTGTCCAGCCTTAAACAAAACAGGAAAAAAATCCTTGTTCTCAAGGATTATATTCTAATGGGTAGAAATATTTTAAAAAATGAATAGCTAGATGTAAATAAATAAGTAGATAAATAAACAACACCCATAGGTGATAGTTGCTCAGAAGAACCAACAGCAGGGTAAGGTGGTAATAGGGAGTGATGGGGAGCTGAGAGGTTGTTACTTTATGTAAGGTCATCAGGGAAGGCCTCTGATGAGGTGATATTTTAAGCCAAGATCTGAAAGAAGTGAGGAACACACCCAGGGAAATACCTGGGAGAAAAGCATCCCAGGCAGAGGGAACAGCAAATGTAAAAGCCCTGAGGTATCAGTGTTACTTGTTCTGTCCAAGTCCCGACAGGGCCGCCAGTGTACTGGAGTGGAGTTAGTCGGGAAAGAGCAGTAGGGGATGAAAGCAGAGAAGTAATGGGACTCAGATCACCTAGGGCCTGAGAGCGGGGGTAAGACCTTTGGAGTGGATTTTATTTATTTAAAAAAATATTTATTTGTTTGTTTGTTTGTTTGTTTGCTGCATTGGGTCTCAGTTCCAGCACACAGGATCTTTTGTTGTGGTGCGCAGGCTCTTCGTCGCAGTGCGTGGGCTTCTCTCCAGTTGTGGCGCATGGGCTTCTCTCTAGTTGTGGCACGCTGGCTCCAGAGCTCATGGGCTCTGTAGTTGTGGTGTGTGGGCTTAGTTGCCCCGCGACATGTGGGATCTTAATTCCCTGACCAGGGATCGAACCAGCGTCCCCTGCATTGCAAGACGGATTCTTAACCACTGGACCACCAGGGAGGTCCCTGGAGTGCATTTTATTCTGAGCGAGATGGGAGCCACTGGGGAGGGGACAGTGGAGGAGAGACATGATTTGACTTACGTTTTAAAAGGCTTATACTCTGTTTGCTCTTGGGGAACAAGACTGTGGAAGGTGGGGTAAAGTGGGCATCAGCAGAAGCAGGGAGACCAGGTAGGAAGCTTTTGCCTTCGTTAGGGCAGGGATGATGGTGGCTCAGACTAGGGTGGCAGTGCTGTGTAGCCAGAAAGGAATGGTTTCTGGACATATTTTTTTTGAAGGCAGAGTCAAATTCTAATTCTCTCTGTAGAGATGTTTGATTTATCTGGAGTTAACCTCTAGGTCACATGGGCTTGAGGGTATCATTGGAAACTTGACAGTGATCTCTGGTAAAATTCTAAGCCTGATTGAGCGAAGGATAAGAACACAGGGATGACCGTAGAAATCACTAAGAGTAACTCAAGCTAACTGGTAATTTTTTTTTCTTTAAGTTTTGCTGTGATTTTACTTAAATTGTAAAACGAGTACAAGTTTGTTATTGAAGTATTAGAAAACAAAGGAAAAAAATCATACCATCCAGGGGTAATTACTATATATATAGCACTTTGATGTATATTAGGGCAATTCGTTTTTGAAAAGGTTCCTAGGCTGGGGGATCAGGAATATGCTACAAAGGTAATATGTCTTAAGTGCTAAAATTAGGTATTTAACATTTTCTCATGTGATCCTAAGACAAAGAAAATTTGGGGCTGGCTTGCATGCAAAGGATATACAAGTACTGATTAATGGATTGATGTTTATCTAGAGGGGTTGTTTTTAGTGGCATTCTGGAGGGCTGTTCTTGGTTATATTTTGTTTAACAATTTGAAAATCAATTTGGATGAAGATACAGAAGAGACATGCCTGTTAGATTAATAAATAGTGAGTGAATGCTTATAAACTGGAAGGTGTAGAAAATACTTAGACAATTGAAACTATTGATTGAAACCAACTTTCAAGTTGAAATGAAAAAAAAAAAGGTAAATAATGTAAGCTTAAGATGGACCAATCAACCAAAAATAGTAAACGAAAAATGTCACATATAAACAATTTATAAGTTTTGAATTGCATGCTCTTCTGAGTAGCGTGATGAAATCTTGCTCCGTCCTCTTGTCCAGTTGACCCTTGAACAACGCGGGTTTGAACTGTGCGGGTCCATTTATATGCGGATTTTTTCTATAGTAAGTACTACAGTACCGCACGATCTGCAGTTGGTTGAATCTACGGATGCAGAACTCAGGATACAGAGGAACTGCATGTATGGAGGAACTGCCTCTATGAAGGGCCAAGTGTAAGTTATACATGGATTTTGAGTGCTCGGAAGGTCGTTGCCCCTAACCCTCACATTGTTCAAGGGTTAACTGTATAGGAAAAAACATAATACATAGAGGTTTCTGTACTGTGTGTGGTTTCAGGCATCCACCAGGGGTCTTGAAACATATCCCCCGTGGGTAAGGGGGGGATACTCTATCTAGAGGTTTTAGGGCTGTGCACTTTTTGTTGGGGGAGGGCCTGTTTGAAAAGACTTCAGAAAACTGCAGTGACAGATGATCACCGTCAGAATGGTGCAGGGGAGGCTTGGAAGGAAGAGGAAAAGGGAGAAAGGGGGAATTCTAAACTTGGTCCTCAAATATTACCGCCTCAGCCTCTGCACTTGCTGTGAGATTTCAAGGGCTTCTCTGTTGCACTCAACCATATCAGTTACCTGCTCTGCTCCTCCCCTTGTGCCTGTCGTGTCAGTACTGCTGAGTTACTTAAAGTTCCCCAAATGCAGCATTGTTTTGTTTGCCTGCCCTCCCTTCCTTCCTCCCTGTAAACAATTACTTTATACCCTTTATGTACCACTGTTCAAAGTGCTGGAGAGACAGCAGTAAAAAACAGCTGCAAATACAAAAAAACATGTCTGATCTCATAGATCTTACAATCTAGTAAAAAGAGTCACACGGTAAATAAATTCTCAAGCAATTAAGTGGTGAAATGTGCTAAGAAGGAACAAGTAGAATATCTTACCTTAGAGCTGTCCGAAGATGAAATGAGCTGCCTTGGGAGGAAATGAGTACCCTTCCTGTCATTGAATAGGAGCTGAATGACTACTTGCTAGATAATTTCTTCATTGAGTGGGAAGTTGGATCAGATGATCTCTAAATCCTTTCCAACCTGGAGAATCTCTACATACTAGTTGGGCTCCCAGCCCTGAGGTTTGCATATCTAAAATACATGAATTTGTGATTCTGGGAAAAATCTTTTTAAGTCCAGAAATTAAATAGAAACACTCAAGAAGTGCTGGTGAGATGTGGACAGCTGAAGGTTTTAAGACAGGTAACTAGAAATTGTCAGGAGGAAGCTGCTTTAAAATAGTTTTCCCATTTTCCTTTAGATCAGGGACTGGCAAACTGTGGTCCACAGGCCCACTGCCTTTTTTTTTTTTTTTTTTTTTTGCGGTACGTGGGCCTCTCACTGTTGTGGCCTCTCCTGTTGCGGAGCAGAGGCTCCGGACGCGCAGGCTCAGCGGCCATGGCTCACGGACGCAGCCGCTCCGCGGCATGTGGGATCTTCCTGGACCGGGGCATGAACCGGTATCCCCTGCATCGGCAGGCGGACTCTCAACCACTGCGCCACCAGGGAAGCCCTCCACTGCCTATTTTTGTAAATAAAGTTTAGTTGAAACACAGCCATGTCATTTGCTTATGTATTGTGTGTGGCTGCTTCACACTACAATGGCAGAGTTGAGTAGTTGGGACAGAGACCTTAGGCCTTACAAAGCCTAAAATATTTGCTATCAAACTAAGTTGTATACTTATATGGATACTATCAAACTTTACAGAAAAAGTTTGCTGATCCCCTACTTTAAATGACTGTTGGGAACAGGAAGTGAATCATGGCAGCTGTGTTGGGGGAAAGGGCAGGGCAAGTCTGATTCTGTACTATTTCAGACCTTCCTGGCCCACTAGGACAGGAAAAAGAACCAGCCTCCAAAATGCTGGATAGGGCCACTTGGAACTGGGTTCAAGACCTTTGGCAGAAAGGAGATCTGAATGAGAGACACTGATATATCTTTCTAGTATGAGTTGGAACTGAGTTAGACACTGGTATGTGTGTTGGGCAGGGGGAGGAAGTTGGCATTAAAGAATGGACTACTCGTCCCGTTCTTCACTTTCCCATGATTTCTGAGGCTTAATATAAACAATTTCCTTCCCACACCCCACTCTTGGGTACAATTAATCACTTCTTCTGAGCTTCTAGTGCACATATATCAGGTGGTGAAATGTACTAAGTGAAAAGAAGCAGAGTGGGTGCTATGTTTTGTGAGATGGTCAGGGAGGCCTCTTTTTTTATATATATATATATATTATTTCTCACTTATACCTCAATAAAGCTGTTATAAAACATATGTAATAAAAATATTAGGAAATAAATCCAGCAACATATAAAAACATAATAACACATAATCAAGTTTGGTTTATCCTGTGAATGCAAGGTTGGTTTAACATTTCAAAAAATTACTTTAATTCACAATATTAATTGAATAAAGGAGAAAATCAACATGATCATTTAAGTTGATGCAAAAGAAAACCATTGGATAAAATTCCACACCCTACATGATTAAAAAGAAAAAAAAATCAGCTAATTAGGAATGAAGAGGTATGTCCTCAATCTGATGAATGACATTTACCGGAAAACCTCTAGTAAACATTATAAGTAACATTGAAATACTGAATCCTTCCCCCACCCAAGGTCAGTAGCAAAGCAGTATGTCCACTCTCATCATTTTACTTCAACATTGTATTTGGGGAAAATAAATGTCTCACAATTTGGAAAGGAAAAGGCTAAATAGTCATTATTTGCAGAAGATATACCATATGTGTAGAAAATCTAAAGGAATCTGCAACAGTTACTAGAAATGATAAGTGATTTTAGCAATATCACCTAATATAGTTAATGTGTTTTTTTTCAGGTGCACATATTTATTTTTAAAATAAATGTATTTATTTATTTGTTTTTATTTATTTATTTTTGGCTGCATTGGGTCTTCGTTGCTGCGCGTGGGCTTTCTCTAGTTGCAGTGAGTGGGGGCTACTCTTCGTTGCGGTGCATGGGCTTCTCATTGTGGGGGCTTCTCGTTGTGGAGCATGGGCTCTAGGTGCACGGGCTTCAGTAGTTGTGGCTTGTGGGCTCTAGAGCGCAGGCTCAGTAGTCGTGGCGCACGGGCCTATTTCCTCCACGGCATGTGGGATCCTCCCGGACCAGGGCTCGAACTCATGTCCCCTGCATTGGCAGGCAGGTTCTTAACCACTGCGCCAGCAGGGAAGCCAGGGAGGCCTCTTTATTTATTTATTTTTTGCGGTACGCGGGCCTCTCACTGTTGTGGCCCTTCCCGTTGCGGAGCACAGGCTCCGGACGCGCAGGCTCAGCGGCCATGGCTCACGGGCCCAGCCGCTCCGCGGCCTGTGGGATCTTCCCGGACCGGGGCACGAACCCGTGTCCCCCTGCATCGGAAGGCGGACTCTCAACCACTGCGCCACCAGGGAAGCCCCTCTTTATTCTTATTTTATAATTGGTTCTAGCTTTCTGATTCTTGAAGTCAAGGGTTGGGTCTTAATGATCTCTCTCTAGCACTTGGCAAAATGCTGGGTGCATTACAGATGTTCCATAGATGTCTACTAAATAAATGCATTTTACCTGGATAAACATACTTGATGGGGAGTGCAGGAAGACTGGAAAGAGAGGCATCTGTCTCTTCCCTTTGTGGATGGTCCTGGAGGTAGCAAAGCATTTCTTTCTCTGGCTGTGCTTAGGGCCAAAAGGTCAGAGATAAGTGAAACTCTAACCTCATTTTCAATCCATTTCCTTATTTATTACCCTGGGTAGAAGGGCTGATTTTAGTGAGTCTCTCTTTTGAGGAGGATTCTGCCTAGTGAAACTTACCTTAGGTATGCACAGGACTTTTCAAAGAGATTTTGCTGACTTTAACTTTTGCTGTGAGGTAGGTGGGGTTGATATTCTTTTATTTTTTCAGAGGAAGGGTCTGAGACATGAAGAAGATCAATGACTTGGCCAAACAGGGTAACATTCTTAAAGGAATATGGTCTTTGGAACTAGACTTGGGTTCACCATCTGGCTGTCGTTACTAGCTGTGTGACCTTGGGCAAGTTTGAGGGTACCGATCCCATAAGGTTATTGTGAAGGCTGAGTAGAATAATAGTAATAGCTACTGTTTGTTGTGACTTATGTGCAAGGCATTCTGCTAAGTGCTTTACATGCCGGGGGATTACATATTGTCTTTGTATGGATGAGAAAACCTCAGAGAAGTAATTTGTTCAAGTAGATAGATCTGGGATTCCTAGAGAAAGCATGTATAGTAAGTCCTTACTATATTGTCTGTAGTATAGTCATGCTCAATTTGGGGTTGTGCTTTATTTGTTCCCTTTATACCTTTCTGTTTTTATTGGTCTGTGTATAATCAGAATGCCTCACTTTGTAAAAATGCTCAAGAATTTGTAGGGAAGTGCTTTTATACAATGGGAAGAGTCCTGGGTAGAGTCAGGAGACTAAAGTCCTTGGCTTTGCTAAGTTGTTGGAGAAATATTGAGTCTCAGTTCCTTCATTTTTAAAATAAAGGGATTGGGCCAAACAGGCAGTTTTTAGAACTCTTTCGTGAGTCATTTGGGGGAAGACCAATATGTTAAGAAGCTGAAATCGGTTGCTTTGGTTGACTGAGTGAGAGAGGGAGCCTGACTCAGCCTGCTCAGACCTTCGCCCCTGCTCTCTTTTCCCAGGTGACTCTGGAAGGGGTTTGCTCAGTCTGGTTTGAAAGTCAGTGGACTAAATGATCTTTTAGTTGTGTTTTGGCTATGAAATCCCATTCTAAGGAGTGGAAGAAGATCCAGAAATATTTTCTGCTTCAACACTTCCTCCAATAATTAGAACCTCTATGAGTGGTGTGGTTTTCTGGTATTTAGGTCATATTTCCATGGCCATAGACCTGAAAGCCAGATGGGTCATTGTCCAACGGGAGAAGCACTGTGCAAGTGGCTTGGGGCTTGGGACGAGACCTTTCAGAGCATTACCACGGGACTTGATATCTGTGCTGGCTGTATCTGTTATTGTTAGTTGTTTTCTCCATTTGTAATCCATGAGTAAGTAGCTCCTCGACATCATTTTTATTATTTTCTGTTAATGGTTAGTGCCAAAGGGCTGACCAGCCATTTAATAAGTAGGGGGCTCATTCAGCCCTATTCATTCATTGAATTTTAAGCATTAATTTATGTGCTAGGCTTCCTGCTGGGTGCT